GCGCCGCGGGCGGGCGGCGAGCGGACACGCCCCAACGGTCCCAACGGCTCGCGAGAGGCGGCAGCGACGCCCGCCCCTGCRCTCCCCGCGCGCGCCCCAGCGGTTGAGGGCGGGGCGGGTCCCCGCGCGGCGTAACCGCCGCACCGGCCGCTCAACGGTCGCGGCAGGTGGCACGAGCCGCGTGGCCTGTGGCGCTGATAAAGCGGAGCGCGGCGAGGGGGTGGTGGCGCCCGTGCCCGCCTGCGGGGCGGGGGAAGCGCCTCAGGGCCGCCGCGTAGCAGGGGGCGAAGGGCGGCGGCCAGCGCGGGGCCGCCACGTTGTGCGGCGCCCGTTGAACGGTCGCTGAGCGAGTGACGCGTCCGCCGGGGGCCGTGCCCCGCGCGCCGGGGCTCGCTGCTGCGCGGGCAGGCGGCCCCGGGATCTGCTGGCTGCGCCTCACGGTAAATATGCCCCGTATGCCCGCCTTTTTTTTTTTTTTTTTTTTTTTTTTTTTTTTTTTTAATATGCCAGAAGGCGGCATGGTTGCCAGCGGCAGCAGGCTTTGACCCACTGGTTACTCTTTGTGCTGTGACATCCAGCTATGACAGCACGTAAGGTGGCGTTTTATTGTGTAACACATCTTGTTCAGTACGGGCCATGCTCAGGAATTGAGCTTAATTAGTTATTTCATGATAAGGGCCCTAAGAGCTTTGTTTGTTTATTTTTCAAGGAGGCAAAGCGCTTAAGTCATCTCTGTAAGAGCCTGACTTGATCCACAGAGAAAACAGGAGCTGGGGCAGCATTTAGCACTTCTGTGCCTCCTGCCTCATAAATGTGTCTCCAAGAAAAAAAGCAGACCACCTCCTCAGCTGAGCAGCTCCTCCACAGCCCTAGAGAAAATGGGGAGCCTCATTTGTCCTYGTTAGGGTTGGCACATGGTGCAGGGAGTGTTCTGGACCTGATGAGCACTGTTACTACACACAGCTAGGTGGTGGTGAAGCATCCCTTCCTAATAATCAGCCTTGGAAATAATTCACAGCCCCGAGACTGTCACAGCTCTGGAAAATGCCCATGTCTTCTCAAGCACAGCAATGCCATGCATTTCCATAAAACTTTGTATTTTCACCACCCTATGTAATGAGTTGTTTAATTCACCTTCTGAGCTAACTTAGTGATGACTACCTCTGTGAGAAACAGGATGAAGCTCTTGCCAGCAGGAGACCTGCAATTAAAACATTATTTCTCTTCCTCCCAGCTTTGTATTTGTTTATCTCACAAGTAGGCAGTTTTTAACAGATGCTAGGTAGCATCTCCTAGATGTAGGTAAGCTCTCCAGTGTGAAGAAGGTCTCCTTAGCTCAATTGCTTGCAGCTTGTTGGTAGATAGTAGCAGTTGGTATCAGGGAAGTGTAAAACTGAAGTTGCAGCCCTACCTCTGGATTTCCTTCCCAATTCCAGTTTCAAATTAGAATTGCCACAACACATTGCTATTATTTTGGGTGGAGCATTTTGGTGTATTTGACAGCCCGCTATAATGGGTTCTGATCTATGACTGAGGAGCCTAGGTATCGCTGGAGTGTGAAATTGCATCTAGGGGTGGACTAAGGGCACCAATGTGAGCAGAGGAATGAACAGAAACTGGGGTCTTTTGGATAACCTGTGGTTAAAAAGAAGCTTAAATACAGATTCTGAAATTAATGCACAGCTAATTTACTTGTTTAGATTTGAGGTGAACAGCAGGCAAGGTAAGGATACTCACCTATTGGTTTCTCAAGAACTTACTGAGCCCTGAAAATTCAGGTCTTGCCAAGCTCTTTATGAGAATAAATACAGGAATATGGCCAAGTTTTTAAATGTTTGGCCAAGTTTTTAAATATGTTAGTGCTCACTAGCTTTTGTTGGTTTTGAACAATTATTTGATATTATAGGTTTTTTTAAACCAATGTAAGTTAAAGAATAGATATTCTAATAAAGTGACTAATATACACATGCCATTTCACTTGTTTTTACTGTTTATACTCTAGATCTTCGGGGTAAATAGTCATTAGCTTCCATAGAAATCTTTCTGCCATATATAATTTTAKTTATTTTAGCAACAGGGAAAAAAGTATCTATCTATATATATACACCTATATATCTCTATATATCTATATATATAATTTACTTTTACCTTGTATGCTTGCCAGCTTTAGATGTTCAGTGCCTTTCATTCTCAGTTGCTTTTCTTCTTCAATATAGAACCGTCTCTATTCTGCATTATAATGTGTTAGCTATATTATTGTTACTATTTGTTCTCAGTTTTGCTACTTCCCTTTAAGAATTTTGTGGATAAGGCAGTTGTCACCTACTTGGTTACATACATGAAATATTTTTTTTTTTAACACTTTTCTATTTATGGACAAAAATTGAACTCTGATGCAAAGCAATAAAGGGGCTGAAGTTTATTTTGCATAAATTTGAAGCTGAAGGGGTAACTCTTACCACCCCAAAATGGGCTTTATGCAAGACAGATTAGGAGGTGACCTGTATGTGAAGAAATATGGGAATGTCTTGGGAAAAAGGAAAAAAATGTAACAATGAATCAGCACTATTGATTTTGAACATTTTAAACTTAGCTTAATGTATGGGGTACAGTAATGAGCCTGCTTTAAGCTGATACAGCTTTGAAATGCTTCTTACTGAGCTGAACACAAAGCTTGACGTCTACTCTAAGCACAGTATCTGCTTTAATTCCTGATATTTTTCAGACATACTGTATTACAGGTAATCTTTTTTTTTTAAAAAAGAAAATTATGTCACTTGACAGGATTTATTAAGTGATAATAAATCTGTTGATAGTGTTGTGTACACACTCATTTTTCAGAAATTTCCTTCAAAAATTTGAAAATATAATGTAAATAGCCTTGTAGCAAAATTCCTATTAGGTACAATTTTGAATTGGTGAAAAACTACTCGTATAGTTTAATCTTTGTAAAAAATGTGATATCTGAAGAACCTATTCATAACATCACATAAAACAGACTGGATTAATCTCTGACAAAATAGTTTAAATTTGGACATAAGTTGTGAKCTGTGTCCCATGGTGTGCTTCACAGGAAGGTCTCCGTACGCCRGACTGGGCTGGGTGGAAAGGAAGCTGTGGGCTCCAGCGAGGGGCTGCGGAGCTGGCCGACTGYTGCTGCCTTCCCTCAGAGGCAGAGGTAGGTCTGCTGGAGCCGGAGCCCTGCTTGAACCAGGAGCTGGGAACTGCTCCCTTTCAAGGATGGCTCTCTCAGATTGCTCTGGCTCCCAGCTCYTGGGCCTGCAGCAGCAGCATAAAGTATTGAATATCTGGTCTAGTGAGTTACTGACTTGCATATTAGAGAAACATTTTCAATAAAATATGCCAATGTATTGCATTTACAAATGCAGATTTTTAACAAGTCACCAGGTAYGAGGCATTAACAAGTCACTAGGTGTGAGGTATTTGCAAGTGTGTGTATGCAGCTGAATTTTCAAATGCTTCAGAACTGCAATAATCAGGCTGAAGTGCAACAACAGAGAAAGTACCTAGGCAGGCCTTTGGACACAGCCACCTGTCAGCAAGTAGGTAGATTTTCAGGATAAGTAGGGCACACTCCTACACTAGGTTGTTATATTTTCATATTTGACTGTAGATGATCATGGGACAAATATTAAATTCTAGGGCCTATCACTAGATTATATAAGCTCAGAGGATTTGTGGGATGTATCTGCAGAAAATACAGACTCTACGTAAGAGCTGTGGAAAAAGATTCTTTATCAGATCTCCATAAGGGAACGTGAAGAAGAGGCAAAAGGTGCGTGTTGTCCAGGCTTTTTACTCAGGTATGGCAAGGGGAGGCTGGGGGTGAGCCCTGGCAGGGAAGTGGGGTGTTTGCTGGTGCTCTGCAGTTCTTGAGCTCAGAGTGACTGCACAGGTGTTCTTGCCTTGTGAGGCCTTCTGTTCATCTCACAGCTGCAATGCCTCCTGCTCAACTGTACTTAACTTGGTGAGTGTTGTAATAGTAGCCCCTGTAGGTAATAATGTATGTAACATATAGATTTGCAATCGGAGAATCTGCTTATGCAGTCAAACTGCTTAGTGTAACTGCAAATAATTTTACCATTTCCGTACTCCAAACTTGGATCTTCATACAGGTATGACCTTTTCCACAGTGGGCAGAATTGTATCTTGTGTGTTTTACTAGAATACTGGCAAGCAATTCACTTAAGTAACCAGATTATGTTTATCAGTGCAATGATGTAATTTAAATCCTGTAGGAGAACTTTTCTGTGGACTTTAATTTCACAAATTTAAGAATACAAGTAATCTTGAGTTGGTTTTAGAGAGCTGGTATTTCTTCCTATGGGAAATGCCACTAACATGGACACTTCAGCTTTAGAACTAGAACTGATACAGCTCAATTTTAGTTGATACTTTTTTTTTTTTTTTTCCCCTTTTGCTTTCTGTCTGGCTCAGGAGTGTCTGTATAAAATATTCAAGCGTATGTCTTAGTGTTCTGTCCAGTAGCACTGTATATCACTTGCATTAAAAATCCCTACGGTAACTTCCTTGGTTCAACACAGGCAAAGGATGAGGCTTTGTGGAGTTGCGTGCAGCTCTCTACTTCAGCTGCTGTTCTCTGTACGTGTTAATGTTGATGCACAATAGTGCTAGCTGCATGCTAAAGATCTCAAACAGAAGCAGGCCACTAATGATGGTCCTCTTGTTTTCCATTCTTATATCTCTTTATCCTGCTCATCTGTCTTTCCACCTCCTTTTCATTAAGTCTTTGGGATATTTTATGCTCTTTTAAGACTTTAATCACTAATATCCTTGTGGACTGTTCCAGGTTGCTGTTGAGGCAGACAGCTGGATAACCCCTGATTTGTCAGGCTGAAGATGTACTGTAAATATTTAGTAGCAGAGCAGAGTAGCACACCTGCATTTGATAAACACTGGGGGAAATGATTACACACCCTAGTTTGGGCCCAGCAGAAGAAATATCTGCTGTTCACCTTATATTTTAAGGCACCTGGCTCAGTTCATCATCTGCAAAATGAAGCCACAAGGCTGAAGTAAGAGCAAGCTGCTGTATTAAAAGGCAGAGGATATGAATCAGAGGTCCAGCAGTTTTTCATGCTTCCTCTGTACCTATCAGGCAGCAGAGGAGTGAGCATTATCTGATTAACAACAGATATTTACTGTGTCTAATATTCTACCTCYCATTGCCACATTTTTCTCATAGGAGGTCTACTCTACCCTTAGTCTCTTAGGGCAACTACAGACCCTTGATTTTCCAACCTGAAACTAATCATAGGTAGCCTTGCAGATAAAAGTGGAGGAACCAGTGTTTCACGTTTCACGCCACTAAACTTTTTTTTTTTTTTTTTTTTTTTTT